AAAGTTGTGGACAAGTTGCTGCGGACACACACACACACACACACACACACACACACACACACACACGCATACACACAAACGCGCACACAGACAACGCGCACACGGTGTGCTTTTTGTGCAGCTGTTACACAGCACAAAACGCATAAAAACTGTTCAACTGTTATCATAAGAAAATTTTGAAGGGAATCGATCCGCCATCACTGGATCTGCTAGCCAAAAATGGCATTCTGGGATTGCGGCGAGCAAAACGGCGCAATATGGAGCGCTTGCAACTGGCAGTTGGTGGCGAAGCTGTGAATTCGGTGGACGATCTCACTCCAGACGTGCTCGGATATGCTGGTTCTGTTTATGAACACGTCTTAGTAAGTTTTTAAAAAAGCGCCTTGAAAGTGGGGCAATTGATTACGGAACTTTTTCGCACACGGAACTTTCACAAATTAAAATTTTTCTAACAGATCGACATGACCCAGCGACTGTGAGTCATTATTCTTCAAGGTTGCCCGTTTTCTCAGTGTCGGGGCATCCATTTTGATGTGTGCACGCGTGAGGCACAGCTGTCCCGGACACACATTCCTTAATTTCGGTCGCTTTCGCCATTGCCAATACATATTTGCACTTTCACTTCGTAGATCACGGAAATGACATTTCCGGGTCATATTTCAAGTTGTCCAGATTTGACGATTGATTAGATTAGACACATGGAAGAAAAGGAACAGAAAAAAAAAACTTTGGCGATTGATTAGATTAGGCAGATGAAAGGACGAGGGGGACATATCTCGCGCGTTCCTTTTCCGTGAGAATCTGTCAGCATTGATTCGCTACAAGAAATGGAAGCCCTCAGAATTAAGTAGAGTTATAACGCTCCGTCAGCGATCAGACACCTATTGGCAAAGCTGTTGCAAGTTTCTTCCCTTGAAGATTTTTTCTTTGAGGAAGCTAAGCGTGATTCGATCCTCTGGCATGGCAGCCATGTTAATAGAATAACTACTGAAATCAATCGTAAAGGGGCCCATTTTTCTTATGGCGATTTGAACCTGTACTTGAGCGAATATGTTGTATAATATTGCCCCGAGCTTTTCAGCTAAAATTTTTTAAGTGGAAGATAAAATTCGCAGATATGTTACAGTTTACAACGCGCCATCAGCACACTTTCAGGGAGAAGATAAGTACACGTTCGTCGAAGAATGTAAAGATCCCAAATCAGTCACTATACTGCTTAAAGGATCGAGCAAGTATGCTATCAAGCAGATGAAAGATGCCATTCACGATGGACTCAGAGCTGTTTTCAATACATTCAGCGACCGTATGCTGTTTGGAGATTCCTAGTTTTTTTTTTTTT